ACGAGGGCCGCGCGGCCGCGCGCCGCGGCTCCTGGGCCGACGCGCACCTCGCGGTCACGGCCGCGCAGTGCGTCGCCGCGGGGCCGCCGGGCCCGCGCGGGCGTCGGCCGCCGCCCGCGCTCGAGGCGCTGGCCGTCGCGGCCGCGGCGCCGGGGCGCGCGGCGGCGACGCTGAGCCTGCGGCTCCGGCCGGGCCGCTGGCGCCTGCTCGTGGGCTGCCCCGCGCGGGACGAGCTCCTCGCGAGCCTCGAGGTCGCCGTCGCGGCCGCGCGGCCCCTCGAGGACCGCGTCCTCGCGTTCCCCGCGCCCGCGCGGCCGGGGAAAACGGCCATCTCCGCGGCCGTCCGCTCCCTCGACGGCCACGGCGACGACGCCGCGCGGGAGGCGTGGCTCGTCGTCGCCGCGAGCTAACCTTAGGCCCCGTCCCGCGCGCCGCTCGGCCGCAGGGCGACGCGCCCGCGGTCGCGGTCGACGCGCTCGACGACGACGTCGACGGCCGCGCCGACGACGAGCCGCGTGCTCGCGTCGCCGAACTTGGACGCGTGGACGAGGCCGTCCGTGCCGACGCCGACGTCGACGAAGGCGCCGAAGGGCGACACGTTCTTCACGAGCGCGCTCCGGAAGCGGTCGCCCGCGCGGAGGTCGCCGAGCGCGAGCGGGTCGCCGGTGCGGAGCGGCGGCGGCGGCGACAGCGCGGCCCGCGCGTCGCCCGCGAGGCAGCCGTCGCAGAGGAGCGCCGCGAGGTCCGCGTCGCCCTCCGCCGCCGCGGCCCGGATGCGCGCCGCCGTCGGCGCGTCGAAGCCGCCGCCGCGCGCCGCGACGGCCGCGAGCGCCGGCGGCGGCACGCGCGCGGCCGCCAGCAAGGCCCGCGCGGCGCCGTAGGCCTCGGGGTGCACGCGCGTCGCGTCGAGGGGCTCGGCCGCGTTGGCCACGCGGAGGAAGCCCGCGACGTTGCGGAACGTCTTGGGCCCGAGGCCCGGCACGTCGTTGAGGTCCGCGCGCGCCGCGAAGGGTCGCGCGGCGACGATTTTTGTCGCGAGCTTCTCCGAGAGCCCCGCGACGCGCGCCAGCAGCGCCGCGGACGCCGCGGCGGCGTCGACGCCCGCGGCGGCGACGGCGTCCTCGACGGCCGCGTCGAGCGCGGACCGGAGCGCCCTCGCGTCCGCGTCCTTCTGGTACATGCCGACGCCCAACGTCGTCGGGTCGAGCTTGACGTACTCGGAGAGCGGGTCCAGCAGCCGCCGCGCGAGGCTCGCGGCGCCGCGCCGCTCCAGGGGCACGCCGGGCAGCTCCTCGGCCGCCAGGTCCGTCGCCGAGTACGTCGACGCGCCGCACTCGCGGACGACGGCGTAGGGTAGTTTCAATCGCGCGACGAGGCGCTGGCAGCCGCGGCTGTTCGCGCCGTCGCCGACGGCGACGGCGACGATGTGGTTGTAGGGGCGCAGGGCGGTTTCGAGCGCGTCGGCGCAGGCTTTCCAGCGCGGGTCCGACGCGCCGTCGCGGTCCGACGGCGGTTTTGCCACCGACGCACGCGCCGTCGCGGACGCGGACGACGGCGCCCTTGTGGCCGTGGGCGAAGCCGGGGTCTAGCGCCACGACGACGGCCTCCGCGTCGCCGCGGGACGGCAGGGGCGCGCCGAGGAGCAGGTGCTTCACGTTCGACGCGAAGCACGCGACGGCCTCGACCTTGGCCGCGTCCACGCGCCTCCGCAGCGCCTCCCGCTTCCCCCGGGGCTTCAACAACCGCTTCCAGGCGTCGTCGCAGGCGTCGCGCAGGAGCCGGCGGCTCTGGGGGCCGAGGTCCCGCGCCGCGACGGCTCGGAACGCCGCGGCGGCGTCGTCGCGGTCGGGCGACAGCGACACCTTGAGCGCCTTGGCCTCGGCCGCGCGCCGCAGCGCGAGCCAGGCGTGGTGGCTCACGTGGCGCGTCGGCCGGTCCAGGCCCTCGTAGTCGCGGAAGGCGCGGTCCCGCTCGGGCCCCGGCGCCGCACTGGTCCGTCCCCGATCGAACGCGCGCGCGACGGCGTCGCGGGCGCGCGGGTCCTTGGCGACGAGCTCCGCGAGGACGATTTGCGCGTGGGCCCGGTCGCTCCGCCGCAGGCGCGCCACGGCGTCCTCGCCGCGGGGCCCGCCGGCGAGCGCGGCCTCGGCGGCGGCGTCGGCCCCGGCGAACGCGGCGCGCGCTTTGGTCGCGAGCGTGCACCGCTGGCCCTTGAACGGCGCGTAGATTTGCTCGAGCTCCTCGAGGCTCGCCGCGCGCTGCGCCGCGACGCGCGCCGCGGCGTGGGCCAAACCGATGGCGCCGACGACGAACGCGCGCCGCTTCTCGAGCGCGGCCGCTCCGGCGACGGCGGCCTCGACGGCGCGCAGCGCCGCGGGCGGCAGATGGCCCGTCTCCGCGGCGCGGTACCGCGCGACGAAGGGCACGGTGCACTGCTCGTCGACGAGCAGGCGCTTCGCCGCGCGGACGCAGCGCTCGGCGACGCCGTGGCGCTGCGCCTGGGCCCGGAGCACGACGTCGAGCCGGTCCGGGCCGCGGTCGTCGCGCTTCGCCTGCTTCCGCGGGCGCGGCGCGGCGCCGTCCGCCTGTTTGCGCTTCTTCTGCGGCGGCGGCGCGTCGTCGTCGCGCGTCAGGTCGATGACGCCCATGTCGCGCCGCGGCAGGCGCTCCATCATCTCCATCGCCTCGATCTGCCACAGCGTCTCGAGCACGTGCGAGCGCCGGCGCCGCCCAGCCGCCGGACGAGCCCGCGCGCACCTGTACGCCTCGCGCGCGGCCTCGCGCGCGCGCCGCACACTCCTCGCACCGGCGCGCGCGGCGTCGCATGCGGCGGCGCGCCGTCGTCGCAGTCATGAGCGGCCTCGCGAGCTCGGCCTTCGAGTTCGGCGGCCTGCGCGTCGCGCCGCAGCGGTCGAGCGACCTGAGCGTGACGCTGGGCTCGCTGAACCCCCTGCTGCCCGGCCACGTCGTCGTCGCGCCGCGAAGGCCCGTCGCGCGCTACGGCGATTTGACGGCCGCCGAGGCGGACGACGTCGCCGCGGCCGTGCGCGCGGCGCAGCGCGCGGCGCCGGCCGCCGACGCCTTCAACGTCGCGATCAAGGACGGCGCCGCCGCGGGCCAGGCCGTGGCGCACTGCCACGTGCACCTCGTGCCGCGGACGCGGGGCGACCTGCCGGAGAACGACTTGGTCTACGGCATGATCGACGGCTGGACGCCCGGCGGCGAAGCGTCGCCCGCCGTGACCCTCGACGTGCCGCCGGACGAGGCCCGCGCGCCGCGCACGGCCGACGACATGGCCGCGGAGGCCGACGCGTACGCGGCGACGGCGCTGGCGATGGCCCGGGAGCCCGTCGGCGCGAACGGCGTCGCCGTCGCGAGCGGGCCGCGGCCGGCGGGCGCCGTGCGCTTCGGGAGGTTCGACCTGGACCCGCGCCAGGTCTTCTACGTGTCCGCGTCGGGGCTGACGCGCGCCATCGTGAACCTGAAGCCGCTCGTGCCGGGCCACGTGCTCGTGGTTCCGGCGAAGAACGTGCCGTGAGTTTTGAGTCTCCCTTTTTTTATGTCGATGGGACCCTTTCGTCGTTTAGGTCGCTCGCGGACCTCGACGACATTGAGCACGCGGACCTCTGGCGCACCGCGCGCGAGGTCCACGCGCTCGTGCTCCGGCACTACGGCGCGGCCGGCGCGAACGTCGCCGGGGATCCCAGGACGGCGCCTGCGCCGGCCAGTCCGTGCCCCACGTCCACGTCCACGTCTTGCCCCGGGGGGCGAGTAAGGGGTGTTGACGGCGTTTTGGGATGTGTGGGAGCCGATGTTGACCTTCAACTCTCGCTTCGCGTTTTTCCGAGCATTTGCCGGCGTCAAAAAAACTTTGAGCTCTAGAGATCACACGCGCCGCCAACCCGGGACGCACCGCAAGCTCAACTCGAGCAATCAGCAACTCGTGCACGACGGCGTCCGCCATTATTGCCCACGCCCGCCTCGCGCCTCGCGCATCGCCTCGCGCCGCGAAAGCTGCAAAATTTCGCCGAAGCGCCCTCGTTCTCGGAGAGCAAAATCACTCGCTCGACGAAGCCGTGCCAATCCTCCGGCCGCCTGCATCGCTCCGCACTCCGAGAGGGAGGCTGTCGTGGCGCGGGGCGACGCGCCTGTGCATCGACGACGCGTCCGCGCGCGCGACCCGTTCGACGAGCGCCGTCGAGCGCCGTCGAGGAGACGTCTCACCCGTCGACCCGCGCAGGCAATCGCAAGCATGAATCCCCGCGCCGTCATCGTCGCTCTCGCTCTCGCCGTGTCGTCCGCGTCCGGCTTCGTCTCCTCGGAGGCGGACTCGGCCGTCGAGCACGTCGCGTCGGTCCCCGCCGCCGAGGCCTTCGAGGGCCGCGAGCTCGTCGAGGGTTGCCCCGAGGGCAAGGCCGGCAAGAAGTGCCGCAAGGAGGAGGCCAAGAAGCGCAAGGATGCATGCAAGCGCAACTGCCCCGAGGGCAAGGCCGGCAAGGAGTGCAAGAAGAACTGCGGCGAGCTCGACGTCGGCGTCATGCCGCCGCCCCCGAGCTGCGAGGAGGCCGGCAGCATCATCGCGGACCTCTCCAAGACGCTCTGCGGCCGCTTCGGCGGCGACGCCGGCGAGGTCGAGGAGCTCCGCGAGAAGGTCAAGGCCCTCGAGGAGCACCTCGAGGACGTCGAGCACGACCTCGAGATGGCCGAGCGCCGCATCCGCAACCTCGACGACCACCTCGGCTACTGCAAGGAGGACCTCGAGTACGCCTGGGAGCAGTGGGCGGAGTGCTGGGACGAGCACGACGACGACTGGCACGGCGAGTACTACTACTACGGGGATTACCACGACGACGACTGGCACGACGACGACTGGCACGGCGACGACGACGACGACTGGTTCTCGTACAGCTACGAATACCACTTCAAGGAGGACACGCGCGTGTCGAAGCCCGAGCAGCACCACGGCCCGGGCCACGCCGGCGGCGGCCCGCCGCACCTGGGCGGCGGCGCGGGCGCCTTTGGCGGCAAGGGCAAGGGCGGCGGCAAGGGCAAGGGCAAGGGCAAGGGCAAGGGCGTCCGCCGTGCCCTTGACGCCGGCAAGGGCAAGGGCAAGGGCGTCCGCGGCGGCAAGGGCGTCCGCGGCGCCAAGGGCCCGAAGGCCGCCGGCGAGGACGCGCTCCAGATTTCAAGCTGCCCCGCCGGACCCAAGCACGTCCCGCCGTCGGGAACCAAGCACGTCCCACCGCATCACGCCGGGCCCCACCAAGCGCCGGGCCATCCCCCCCCCCGCCTGCATAAGCTCAAAAAGAGAAAGGCTTCACTCAATAAAGCTCCGAAAAAGAAAATTACGCGCTGCTCTCCTCGAACTCGACCATGCGCGCGTCGCGGTCCGCGGCCTCGAGGGACGCGACGACGTCGTCGAGGAGGTCGCCGCGGAGCACGCGGTCCACGGAGTTGGCCGTGAAGCCGGAGCGGTGGTCCGTGACGCGGTCGTGGGGCGCGTTGTAGGTGCGGATGCGCTCCGCGCGGTCGCCGCTGCCCGCGAGCTTCGCGCGGGACGCGGACCGCGCCGCCGCGGCCGCGGCGGCTTGCGCGCCGACCACGCGGCTCGCGAGCACCTTGAGCGCCTTGGCCTTGTTGCGGTGCTGGGACCGCTCGTCCTGGATGGACACGACCGTGCCCGTGGGGAGGTGCGTCACGCGGACCGCGGAATTCGTCGTGTTCACCTGCGTGGAAATCGACCGCTGGTTTGGGACGTCCCGACCAAACTTTCTAGCTCGGTCAAATCGAAGTCGATTCGGTTTGGACGGATCCATTGTTCTCATCGAGTTCTCGAAGCACGGCGGATGTGCTCGTGTCGAAACATTTTGATACGCTCGCATTGAAGTCGGGTTGAAGATTTCCATACGGGTAGTCGCGTGCTGCCCGCCCGCGCCGGACGCGCGGAACGTGTCTATCCGGAGCTCCGCCGGGTCGAAGTCGACGGTGGCCCCCCGGTCCTCGGCGCCCGCCGGGAAGACGACGACGGACGCCGTCGACGTGTGGATGCGCACGTCGTTCCGGGGCACGCGTTGGACCCGGTGGACGCCCGACTCGAAGCGGAGCGCGCCGTAGGCGCCCGGCCCTTTGACCTCGGCGTAGGCGTGGCTCACGCCGCCGCAGTCGCTCTTCGTCACGCTCAATAAGTCCCAGCCGTGGCGGCGGCGCCCGGCGAAGCGCTCGTACATGGCCAAGAGGTCGCCCGCGAACAAACTCGCCTCGTCGCCGCCGGCCGCGGCCTTGACCTCGACGAGGCACGCCGGCGCGTCGTCGACGGCGTCCCGCGGCAGCAGTTTTGCTGTGAGGTCGTGTGCGAGTGTCGCTACTTTTGGTGTCAGTAATTCGCGTTCGCGCCGCGCCTCGTCCCGCAGCTCCGCGTCGCCGACGGCGTCGCCGCCGCGCAGCGGTCCTCGAGCTCGGCCAGCGAGTCCAGCTCCGCGACGCACCCCTCCCAGGCCTCCTGGCAGGCGAGAATCTCGCCGAGCTCGCTCAGCTCCCGCGCCGCCGCCGGCGCCAGCACCTCGGCGCTCGCCACCGCGCAGAGCTCGTCGTAGCGGCCGCGCTTCGCCGCGAGCGCCCGCAGCGCCGCCGCGCTGACGCGCCGGCGAGCCCTGCGACCGACTATCGGGTTCGCGAGGCGCCGGAGCGCGCGCATGCCGCGCATGGCTCGCTGTGGACGGCGACGACAGCGGTGGTGGTTGCGGCAGCTCGACCAAGCCAAGAGACTCTCGACGTTGGCACGATGGTCGCGACGCGTGCCGCTCGTCGCAGCTCCATGAGCGCTCAACGAAAGGTGCAGATCGTCGAGCCGCCGTCGACGCCGTCGACGATGCGGCCTGCAGCATCTCGGGAGGCGACGTCTTCGAGCCGCACAGAAGCTACGAACAACGACGACGATGATGCTGTTCTGGCGGCGGCGGCGCGGCGGACGCTGGCCATCGACGTGAGCGACGCCGTAGCCGTCGTCGCGCAGACGACGCCCGTCGCGCAGCGGCGCGAGGCGCGGATCTCCTTCGCGCCGGACGTCGAGATGACGCCCGCGGCGACGCCGCGCGGCGACGCGACGCCGGTCCGGAGCGCGCTGCGCGCCGACGGCACGCCGGTCCGGAGCGCGCTGCGCGCCGGCGCGACGCCCGTGTCCGACCGGCGCGTGTCCTTCGGGCCCGGCGTCGAGTCGCCCAAGGCGTCGCGCGAGCGCAACCACAAGCAGGCGCGCATCAGCCCCGCCGTCAAGGCGAAGCTCGAGCACGGCCCGCTCCAGCAGAACCACTGGCTCAATCAGTCGCCTCGAGAAAAGAACGCGCGGCCGAGCCGCCGCGCCGCGAGCCGCGCGAAGGACGCGTAGGAGGCGTGCGCGTCCGGACCCTGTATCGTAACTGTAGAGGTGTTTTCGTGGTTACTCGAGAGTGGCCTCTTTTCGTCACTGTAGAGGTGTTCGTGCTTGTAGTTGCTGTGCTTTCGTGGATTACTGGCGAGTAGCTTCTTTTTGCGCGGGGAGTGGTTACTGGAGAGTTGCAGCGACGACCCGGGCGCGCCGCGGGGACCGGGGAATACCGCGTGGCGGTCTTGGACGCTTCGGGCCCGGCGGCTCTTCGGCCTTCCGGAAAGGCGCCTAGTTGGCGGCGGCCTTCATGGCCGCGCCGCGCTCGGCGACGGGCACGTTGCTCAAGAGCGACTTGCGGGAGGACTTGCGCGAGCCCGTGGCCTTGGACGCCTTGGGCGCGGCCTTCTTCGCCGCGGGCTTCTTGGCGACGGTCTTCTTCTTGGCCGGCGCGGCCTTCTTGGCCTACGGGTACAAGAGTTGGCGCGGAGTCTGGAAAAACTTCCCGAGGCGACAGCGGGCGCTCACCTTCGCCGCGGGCTTGGCGGCGGCGGGCTTCGCGGCGGGCTTAGCGGCGGGCTTCGCGGCGGGCTTCGCGGCGGGCTTCGCGGCGGCGGGCTTGGGCGCGGCCTACGATAAACGAGTCGGAGCGCTCCGACAGTCTCTCGACGACGGCGGTCGCTCACCTTCTTCTTGGGCGCCGCCTTCTTCTTCGGTGCCGCCTTCTTCTTCGGCGCAGCCTTGGGCTTGGGCGCGGCCTTGGGCTTAGGCGCGGCCTATGGAGAAGAGAGTCGGAACACGTACGGACAAAGCTTCTCGACGATGGCGGGAGCGCACCTTCTTCGCGGCCGGCTTCTTCGCGACAGTCTTCTTCTTCGGCGCGGCCTTCTTCGCGGCAGGCTTTTTGGAAGCGGGCTTCTTGGCGGCCATGATTAACCTGCGTGCGCGTCCGGGTCGTACTTCACTCTCGTTATCGGGTCGCGCGCGAGGCGACCCGCGAGCGCGCCCTCGATTTCCGGGGGCGGCGTCGAGGCCGTCTTTCCGGTACCGACGTCGGCCGCCGGGCGCCCCGCCTCATTTTTGACGCCCCGCGACGGCGGCAAATCTCGTCACAGTCCCGCTTCGGACGGTTTCTCCGCCGAAGCCTCACGAGCGCTTTTTCCGAGGGGTTCAGCGCCCGCAGGGGTTAGGGCGGTATCAGGCGGGGCGGGCGGGAGTGCGTGAGCGAAGTAAGTCGATGACACTGGCTCGCACGGTGAGCGAGGCGGGAGTTTTAAGAGCGACGAGGTGGTCCTTCTGGGGCGAGACGCTGAGTCGCCAGGATCTTCAAGCAAGCTCAAAGAGCCGGCATCAAAATCTCCCGAGACGCCTAGAAAGCGGGCTGCGTGCGTTCGAGAAGCGACGCTCCGGCGCGGCCGCAACCGGGGGCGCACACGCTGGCGACTTCCCTAGGAGCTACGGCGCGCGAATTCGCGAGCCGCGAACACCGTGACGGACGCCGCTCGCGCCGCCGCGGTTCGCCGAGATCAGTCGCGCGCCGAAACCCAGGAAGCACCACGAAGTACCCACAGACCCACGTCCCGCAAGAGAGGTCCTCGCGATCCAGCCAGGCACCGGTCGCCCGGAGCGCGACTGCGCGACAGGGCGACGCCATCGACCCCGGCCATCGCCTCGGAGAGCAAACGAGGTGACGAGCTCTCCAGCCGCCAGCGGTGACGGCACAGCGGCCGCGCCATGGCGCGGCTCGTCGCGGCCTACGCGGAGCTGAGCACGCGGCGGCCCTACAGCGTCGCCTTCGCGAGCTGCACCTTCAAGGGCATGCTCGCCGACGCCTTCAGCCAGCGCGTCGTCGAGGGCCGGAGCGAGCAGGACTGGAAGCGCACGGGCGTCTTCGCGTTCTACGGCGGCTGGTACTGCGGCTGGTTCCAGCACGCGCTCTACAACGTGGGCTACGCGTCGCTCTTCGGGTTGGAGACGACGGTCTACAACGCCGCGCGGAAGGTCGCGTTCGATAGCGCGTTCCACATCCCGCTCGCGTGCTTCTGCGTGGCAATCAAATCTTCAAGTTGACTTCAATTTTCGCGTAATCGAACGGTTTGGACCAGACTCTTCGGCTGTGTTTCGAGAACTCGACGAGAGCAATCGATCCGTCCAAAAATCAGCCGAATCGACTTCGATTTGACCGAGCTAGAGAAGTTTTTGCTGGACAGGGCGTTCCACTGGTTGATTTCCACACAGGTGTGCTTCCCCGTGTACTACGCCTACAAGCACGTGCTCTACGACGGCGACGGCTGGCGCGCGGGGCTCGAGCGCTACAAGGGCGAGGCCGCGGACATGTGCCGGCGCTACTACACGGTCTGGGTCCCCGCGAACATGCTCGTTTTTACGGTCGTGCCCGTGCCGCTGCGCATCGGCTTCATCGCGACGACGTCCTTCGGCTGGCTCACGGCGGCGTCCTTCTTCACGCACCAGCACTAAAGTTTTTAGTTGTGCCGCGGCGCGTCGTCGGGTGCAGGGCAACTTCACCCCGACGTATCTGTGACAACGCATACGATGGGGCCGCCCCCAACCACAACACACACACCACTCCCGCCCAGAACCACGAGATAAAACCCGGAAAAAAAACATGGGCGGCGCCGCGAGCAGTGGGAAGCAGGCCGCCGCGCCGGCGCCGGCGGCGGGCCGCTCCGGCTCCATCGTCGGCCCGAACCCGCAGCTCGACGCGGAGACGCAGGAGATGATCCGCGAGACCCAGCGGCGGGGCAGCGGCCAGCAGCGCAAGGCCAGCTGGGGCCTCTTCACCGGCGGCGAGCGCCGCAAGTCCAAGGAGGTCGTGCTCTCCCAGGAGGCCGAGCTCCAGACCGAGTCGTACGCCGAGGCGATGCGATTGATAAAACAGCAGCAGGAGGAGCTCGCGCGGCTCCGCAACGAGAACCGCAAGGTGCAGGCCGAGCTCGCCGCGGCCAAGGAGCTGCTGGGCGACCGGGACCTCGCGCACATGGACG